TTTCATCATTAAACCAATTTAAGGTTATGACTTTAAATGCTTAAATGTTTAAAGGCCAGCATAGTTTAAAATGATTTGGCGGGGGGGGGGGGGGTTGAATGGGTATATTGGGGTTAGAGTAGACTTTTTCTTACTCTGTCACGAACAGGGTTTATGGAAGCCAACAAAAATGCAACTTTATGATAACAAACATTGATTGAAATTGTAACCTTTCCGAGACTGCTCGAAAGCATACTTTATGTGTGTATAGGCATCTGTAGAGAGAGTTCAAACCAAGGATTATAAATTCAAGGAGGATCAAATAATAAAAAATTTTGATTTTTAGATATAGAAAAGATTGGCAATCTAAACTCTGATTTTCTAAACCCTATATCTTTGCAACCCAATGTCTTAGTAGACCATTGATTTTTAAAACTCTGAATTATGTTGGATCAAAATCTAGGTTTGAAAAATCAAAGGTTTACACCATATCAGGTTGCAAAGATAAATAAATAAATAATTTTCAAGACATTTTTTTTATAAAAGACGATCCAGGGCCCAAAAGGTTATATAACACAAATGTGTGAAGTACACCTGCAATTTTTTCAACTTAATTTCACTCTATACTTATCTATTCTCTTTGGATTTTAATCAAAAAGTTTACCATTTGGATATTGAATTCAGTAGAAGTGACGAAGGCAACCAAAAGTTTCTGATTTTTTTTTATCTTTACAATGTATTTTGTACCTTGTTTACGTATCTACACTATCCGCGTTGGTTAACTAGTTTAAACCAGAATTCACCATATTTGTCTCTTTAATCTATAATTTAGTGAGTTATAAAGTTATTTTAAGTGACTGTTCATTTTCTCTTTTAGAAATAGGATTGTTTTTACTGTGGTTACTCTGCAAAAGGGACTTGCGCTTTTCTACTTCAGAAGTAAGGGAAGAGATTTTCTCAGAATTAAAGGTTTTAAAGGTACCGGTTGTGAATCGGACATGTTTCTCTTTAAATGGAGGGTAACTTAATATTGCGCCTACGCCGTACAGTCCCTTTCAAATAAAGAATTTGTTCTTTGACTTGATTTATAAAAACTATCCTATTTTTTGTAATTAATATTATTAAACGGTTGAAAGCACTATAAGCCCTGGAAAATGTGATATAAGTCTTTAAGTAAGTAAGATTTATTACAGATAAATCAAGATCATAATACATATTATAATATGATTAACATTTTCATAGGAATATAATTGAATATATCATGGGGTTTATCACAGAATAAGATAAGGTTATATCATATAGGGAGTTTAATTTTCTCTGTATATAGGGAATAGTAGATGTTCTGTATTTCTCCGTTCTAGCATAGTTGAGAGTAAATAGTTCAACGTTCCGTAGCTGGTGGTTGTGAGTGACTGGTTTTACCGGGAATAGGGTTGAATGCCTTTGATATTTTAGACATTTTTTAGCAAAGGATAAACTTAAGTTTACAGAGTAACTCTTTTTGCATATTTCTCTTGTATTAGTCTCCCAATCTAGGTTTTTAGGTATCCAGACTCCGAGTAACTTCATTGATTCGACTTTTTGGAGGTTAGAGCTATTTAGTTTCAGTACTAAAGTTGGATTTAGATCTGGTGAATAGGATATAGTTGGATTTAGATCTAGTGAATAGCATATAGTTGGATTTAGATCTGGTGAATAGCATATAGTTGGATTTAGATCTGGTGAATAGCATTTAGTTGGATTTAGATCTGGTGAATAGCATATAGTTGGATTTAGATCTGGTGAATAGCATATAGTTGGATTTCTCACAATTAAGCATAATTTTATTCTGTTCAGTCCAGTCTGATATTGTGTTAATACATATCTGAGTGTGAAGGTTGGTCGAAGGGATAAAATATTAACAACACCACTATCTGATGCAACATGAAGCTTATATATAAGTCTGCAGTCAGAATAAAGTCAGTATAGGTTTGCACCCTCTCTTTAGATAATAATATGTCACATCCATGCTAAAAGCAATTTCAGCATTTAAACATGTTTGTACCTCATCAAGGGTTGAGTCAAGATATTTTGAGATTAATACGGAATTTTCAATTAACAAGTGATTTTGTCCAAAGCATGAGAAAGTTTGAAACATCTGCTCCTCCATCTCAAAATGTCCCAACTTATGTCGGGTCCAGTAAATACGTGAGAGCAATGTGATGGTAATTTTAAACATCCACGGCAAAATAAACAGAAGAAGACGATAAAATTTATAAGACATTACTGGTGTGACTTTGTGACCTCGTAGCCCCTCCAGTTTTAATTTTACAGTTACATATCAGAATAGTTCTTTAATAGAAGACGGTATGTTTGAAAACTATTTCCGTTAGTTTGAAGTGTGTCAATATGTCATATGGCCACATCAATGTGTTTAAAATACAAGAAAACGCAATTTATTTTTCAATAACGATAAATCATATATATGAATGCTTAAGATCTATCCAGGCCAAAATATTAGTCAGCCGGGACGATAAAATTGCTGGTTTTCAGCCGGGACGATAAAGTGGGTGGTTTTCAGCCGGGACGATAAAGTGGGTGGTTTTCAGCCGGGACGATAAAGTGGGTGGTTTTCAGCCAGGACGATAAAGTGGGTAGTTTTCACAAAAAAAATCAATGTAATTGAATCAAGATGGAGAAGAAAAATTATTTTTTCTCTGGAGATTTAAAACTAACAGAGTTTTCATAATTTTGTTTGTTTGTTTTAAAATTGTATATTTAGGATGAAGATTATACATTAAAAAATCAACTGATAAATAAGATAGATAGATAGATAGATAGATATGAGACTATCTTGCTTTAGGGAATAATTGAAACAATTACATGAGTTTAGAAAACCTAATCTCAGCTTTACTTTCAATACTTAAATACTTAAAGCCACAAAACTCTCAGGGGCCAATAGAGAAGAACGAGGGTGTGGGTATGATAAGGGGGAGGGTGAGAGGGGGTGGGAGGAAAAGGACAGAAACTTGACAAAAAGATAAAAAAAAATTTATTATCGCTTTTAAAAAAAGTTTTGAGTTTTACTTTGCCCCTGTTAAACTTGTAATTGTATATAGTTTGAGTTCTGATGATCCAATAAAACAAATTGAATGGATCCAACCTGAATCCAGGAAGTGTAATCTTCTCAGCTATTGGTTTTTCTCAGGATACAGGTTCAATAGGAGAAGGAGAAAGGAAATATTGAAGAAGAAAAACCCCTGGAAAACAGTAGTTTAATGAGAGTAGGGGAGGAAAGGGAGAAGGTAAAGGAAAAATGGAAGAAGTAGGAGAAGGAGTGGAAAATGAGAACTTATAGCGGTGAATTAGGGGAATGGGAAGGTAACTAGGGTAAAATGAAGAAATAGGAGATGGGGTAAGAAAACGGGAAGGTATAGGGAGAAAATAAGAAGTGGGGTTAGTGGAGGAAAATTAGATGGTGCAGGAGAAGTGGGGTTAGTGGAGGAAAATTAGATGGTGTAGGGGAAGTAGAGGTAGTGGAGGAAAATTAGATGGTGCAGGAGAAGTGGGGTTAGTGGAGGAAAATTAGATGGTGTAGGAGAAGTGGGGTTAGTGGAGGAAAATTAGATGGTGTAGGAGAAGTAGAGGTAGTAGAGGAAAACTAGATGGTGTAAGAGAAGTAGAGGTAGTGGAGGAAAATTAGATGGTGTAGGAGAAGTAGAGGTAGTGGAGGAAAATTAGATGGTGTAGGAGAAGTAGAGGTAGTAGAGGAAAACTAGATGGTGTAAGAGAAGTAGAGGTAGTGGAGGAAAATTAGATGGTGTAGGAGAAGTAGAGGTAGTGGAGGAAAATTAGATGGTGTAGGAGAAGTAGAGTTAGTGGAGGACAATTAGATGATGTAGGAGAAGTAGAGGTAGGGGAGGAAAATTAGATGGTGGAGGAGAAGTAGAGGTAGTGGAGGAAAATTAGATGGTGTAGGAGAAGTAGAGGTAGTGGAGGACAATTAGATGGTGTAGGAGAAGTATAGGTAGTGGAGGACAATAAGATGGTGTAGGAGAAGTAGAGGTAGGGGAGGACAATTAGATGGTGTAGGAGAAGTAGAGGCAGTGGAGGACAATTAGATGGTGTAGGAAAAGTAGAGGTAGTGGAGGACAATTAGATGGTGTAGGAGAAGGAGAGGTATGGAAGGAAAATGAAAAGATAGAGGGGAAAGGCAGAAGTAGAGGTAGGGAGGGCCGAAAAATGAGATGGTTTAGGAGAAGGGGAAGTAGTAGGACATAGGGAAAAAGAACGTATTGGAAAATAGGTCCTGTGTGAGAGTAAGAGAGAACATTGGGAAGGTTTCAGGGGAAGAAGTAGGAGAAGGGTAGAAAAATGAGAGGGAAGAAGGACAAATGTAAGAAGAAAATGTAGGACAGAACAATGTATTGTCAAACAGGTTTAAGTGAGAGTAAGAGAATAAGAAGGTATAGAAAAAAAAGGAGGAATAGGAGTAGCTGGAAGAAGGCGGTAAAAGAGAGAAGATCATTAGAGGAAATTATTATTTGACATTAGGAGAAAAGGAGAAAAGGAGAAAGGGAGAAAAGGAGAAAAGAAGAAAAGGAGAACGGGAGAAAAGGAGAAAAGAAGAAAAGTAGAAAAAGGGAAAAGCAGAAAAGGAGAAAAGGAGAAAAGAAGAAAACGAGAAAAGAAGAAAGGGAGAAAAGGAGAAAAGGAGGAAAGGAGAACGGGAGAAAAGGAGAAAAAGAGAAAAGAAGATAAGGAGAACGGGAGAAAGGAGAACGGGGGAAAAGGAGAAAAGGAGAAAGGGATAAAAGGAGAAATGGAGAAAAGGAGAAAAGGAGAACGGGAGAAAAGGAGAAAAGGGAGAAAAAGAAGACATAACAAACAAAAAGTATGAGAGTAGAACTAAAGAAGTAACTATTAATATAAGAGAGGAGAAGTAGAACTTCATGAAATGATATTTAAATACGAGAGCAGAACTTTATAGAAAAGAAGAATAAAGTTGGGCATAAAAAAGCATAAAAAGTAAACTGTTCTTATCATATTCACAACAAATATATTTCAGTTTAAGAGGCCTTTATCACAGTTTCTTGCAGCAGCTGAAGTAACTCAAATCCTTGAGAAAGGTATTTATTAATAAATTTAAAACCATTAATTCGTAAATTGTGGTTTGAAATATAGTTGAAAGCAACGTATTTTTTACTGATTTTAAGTTTTTCAATTGACTGTTAAGAATATTATAATTTTTGTGAAACATTACCCCGGATCTAGATGACGAATTTTCAGCACTTTTCTTCGCTTGTGCTTCTTCAGAGATATTTTCATTGCTTTCCAGGTAATCATTATCATCATAATCTTCAGTATCATCTTCAGTTTCATCTTCAGTTTCCTCAACAGGATAATCTTCAGAATCCTCATCATTGTCCTCATCGTTATAATCTTCCATATTCTCATCAGGATAATCTTCAGAATCTCTTTTTCTCCTTCGTTTAGACTCATCAGGAGCACATCTTACGTGTCTGCACATATCTCCGATATCCAGAATTATTGCATAGTCTTCTCCTGTCCTAGGATTCATAACTGTACTTTCATGAGTACTCGGAGTTAATTCAGGGTTGGGAGAACCTGGAGAACGTGTAGTGCTTGTAGACCCTGATATTAATGAAGACCCTGGAGTAATTCGAGAATCTGGAGTACCTGGAGAATAGGAAGTACTGGGAGTACGAAGCTTGTTTGAGTCCCGGGAACCTCGAAGTCCTGTGGTACCTCCAATATTTTCAGTACTGTAAGTACTACTTGATATCGATGAGTGGAGATCAATTAAGTAATATTTAGATCTGACTCTAATCAACAAGGTTGTGATTGTAATGAATAAATAAAACTGCATTCTCCAATAAAACAAGAAGACTAATTAAAAATTTGTATTTCTCATTGGAAAATCCGAAAACAATTTTAACATTTAAAAAGATAAACAGATCAAATATCTGCGTTTTCTCTTCTAGATTCATCGGCATTTTAGCAGCAGGATAAATAAACAGCATCCTAGGATAAATAAACAGCATCCTAGGATAAATAAACAGCATCCTACGATAAATATACAGCATCCTAGGGTAAATAAATAGCATCCTAGGATAAATAAAATTTGTGACCGTTCCATTTGAAAATGAATTTTAGCAGCAGGATAAATAAACAGCATCCTAGGATAAATAAACAGCATCCTAGGATAAATAAACAGCATCCTAGGATAAATAAACAGCATCCTAGGGTAAATAAACAGCATCCTAGGATAAATAAACAGCATCCTAGGGTAAATAAACAGCATCCTAGGATAACTAAAATTTGTGACCGTTCAATCCTCATCCTCAGAATAATATTCCTGTGTGCTTTAAAGGAACTGTTCTTGTAATTTCAAGAGACAATCCATTTAAAACTGGAGGATCACTTGAAATTATAACGTGTTCATTCTCTTTAAAGTTTTATTTTTAAATTAAATATTACTTGATTGTCTGAATCCTCAGAGTTTGAGTTTGAATAATCTGAACCGATAGTTCCTCTCGAGGTGCCTGCAATTTTATCAATTTATATATTTTATTAGATTATTTTCTGCCGAAAACTAAACTTATGCTTTGTCAAAAATACAATAAAACTTCATAATACTTTTTTAACATTCATGAAGATGCAAATTTCTCTATATCTTTGCAACTCAATGTCGTAAACATTTGATATTTCAAACTATGACATATCGGTTAAACAGTGTGAGTTGGACATATCAAAGGTCTACATAGATTAGGTTGCAATGATATAGGGATATAAAATTCGACTTTTCTGTTCCTTTCGTATTATATATGTGAAAAATTAACTTCTACGATTTACCTTGATGTTTGTTTGATTTTACAGGAAAAACGTATTCTCTCTTGTTGGCTTTCTTATGCGAATTTTTTTTAAAGAGGTCAGAATTTAAATTAGTTGTTCTAGAGTTAAGTGGAGCTCTGGTATATCCTACTGATCTTGGGTTTCTTTGCCTTAATTGTTTGAATTTGTATTTTGATTTGAAGTGTTTATTTCTTCTTTTTATTTTTTGGTAAAGTTTCTTTGGTCTTTCGGTCATATCTGGAGGTTGGAGAGAATAATCACTTCCATATCTTTCGACACTTTCAGCATTTTTGTCACTTGTATCACTTGTATCGCACTTATCTACATGCTGATAAACAACCCAGTGCCCATTTTCATTCAGCAACTTTAAAACGTTCATCTTTCCATCTTGTGTCATCCCTAAAAAAAGGCATAAAATCAAATAAGAGTTTTTAATAAAACATTTTTCATAAGAAACATGCTGCTTGAGTGACAAAGGATAGGTGACGAAACCATAGATAAAGAAATAAACATAGATAGCTTATGTACGCAAAATCACCAAGAAGTGTACAGTCCGCGAACTCACACTTCTAGGGGTCAAAGTGTACTTCAATGATAAGCGGGGTGGTTTCATGTTTTAATGGATTTCATAATAAAGTGTAAAATAACTCCGGGAATGGAACTATTTGAACAATATTTCACTGAGCAAAATATCATATTGACGAGAACTGAAGAAGGACATGAGAAGGACTAAACTAACTTAAATTTCTCTCTACAGAACTCATGTACACCACAAGTACTCAATGACATAAGAACAGCCAATGTTCACAACCGACCTAGTTAATCTATATAAAAGGAATATCTTTAAAACATCTATGTACATTTATATCTTTCAAAATGAAAAATGTCGTCTTGTGCGCAATTCTATCCTTATCTATGGACACACCTGGCAAAACAGAATGAGTGGAATATCAAGAGTAATAAATTAAATCTTAAAATGTTGAATTTCCCGTACCCCCCCCCACTTAGTATTTTAGTACTTTTATTTATATTTCATCAAAACTTTATTTGAACTTTTGACTTAAATACCTTGAGTGGTTTCTTAAATGTTGGGCGTGATTTGAAAAAATATTAAAAAGTTAAATTTTACCATCTTTACAAACTACTCCTGCGCAGAAAGTTTCTATATTTATTCTGTAATTTCTGTTTCCATCTTCATCTTCTTCTTCTTCTATTGTTAGTGATCGTTTGCTTCTTCTTTTGTGAAGATTTTCTGTAAAAGAGATTCAAATCAAAATTCGAACATTTAAACATTTAAATGTTAGCAGAAGAAGAGAGTTATGGGACAATTTTTTATAAAAAAATTTCGACTTTTATGAAATAAGTCTTTTATAGATATTTTTATATAGATATTTTATTTATATTATATTTTATTATATTTATTTTTATAGATATTTATTATATTATATATGTATACAGGGTTACTCACAAAAGATGAGACTTTGGTTTTCTGTCTTTAATGTCGTCTTTAAATGATAAAAATACATTCTTAGTTTACAAAGTAAGAGATGGCTTACAAGTTTATCGTTGCAGGAATCAAGTAAGAAAGAAAAGATATTTTGTACAGTTGTTTGTAAAGTATCATGCTTTGTAGATAACCATGTACTTCAGCTGATACCGATGATACATATATATACGTGTAAATTGTACACTGTATGGTTTGATATGATAAGATTGTTTACCCCTTTCACTATCCAGTACTGCGCCATTATTTAGGTTCAAACACTTTTCAATAATATTCATGTTAAATTCTCGTAAAGTGATAACCAAAAAACAATGGAATATGAAGACGACATTTTAGCAATACTTAAGTGTATTTGATGTTGTTACAATGTAAATAGTTGTAGTAGACACTTTTTAAATCACGCTTAGTAAAATGGGTTTGTTTATAATTTGTACAATTGCTGTGTCTCATGCTCATTGGACTTTTGGAGTTTTCTGAATAAATAAATNTTATAAAAAAGTATTCCTGTGCGCATAGTATTAGAACAAAATAAAAGCAATATTTGTGCATTGCAAGGAAAAGAACTAGGTTCCTACTGACCTCGTTAGCTCTTCAATATAATTAAATTCATTTAAAACAAAATATTTATTTTTGTTTTCATTTGAAATGCGTCTCCGAACTAGGAACTAGGAACTAGGAACTAGGAACTAGGAACTCGGAACTAGGAACTACTTCTAGAGAAAATATATTTAATTTTTAGTAAACCTTCAACTGGAGATTATGCAGAATGAGAAAGGGTTGAATTGTTTCACAAATATTTAAATCCCTAACTTCTCCTAATTTCAAACAGAATTGAAACAAATACTAGTCAATTTTAAACTATTACAAGGCTCTGGGTTATGGATTATCTTGCAACACAATAAAAGCTTTTTAAAGAATCCTGGTGCAAAGAGCTTGTTTCTAGCTTCAGGTTTGAAGTGAACGTGTACTTAGTAAAATCCTGAACATTTTTTACTTCAAACAATGAATATTTACTTTCGCACTTTTTAACTTTCTAAAATGTAAATAGGATTCAATCTTTTTAAAAAATGCACAAATAGTTGATATGAAAGGTACTGTAAGCGTAATTACAAGTGATTTGAAAATGAATATTTTTTATTGTGATTTCTCTACAAAAGTGACTATCGCACATAGATTCAGCCTGCTCATAAACAGTCTCATCAATTATTAAGACAGGGTTGACTTTGAAGTGTCGCAACGCCCTAAGCTTTGATTTTACCGCTCTAACTCACTTATGCTTTTCTGTAGCCCTTTACATGTACATTTTAGCATTGTAAAGCACTTGTTGTTAGCTTTGGTTGTTTAGAAGTAATTGGCAAATTTTTCAACAATTTAAGCTTGAGATCGTGAGACCATTAAATCGCAGTGATCGTAATCCTTCTGCAAGAAATTATATAGAAATTATGAGAACCAAACACATAGAAAACTACAATATCTTTCACAATATTGATCAGAAAAAGTTTTCAAGGGTACTGTTGTAAATCGGGCATAATCATCTTTGAATAAAGAGTAACTTGAAATTACGCTTACAGTCTCTTGGAATCCGATTTTTTATACTTTTGTTTGTTGAAGTCCCGTAATATTTCTCAGTGTTTTCACAATATATATATATTCGAGGTTCCGTGATGTTTTAGTTTATGATATTATTACTTTTGGACCGTGGGAACGTTTGTATTGTAAATATCGAGATCAATGCTTGCTCTCGATTATTTGTAAATCTAAAAATATTGATTTAATCTATTTTCGATATCCCACATGGTAATCTTACTCGATTGAAATATACAAATTAAATGCTAAACCTGCGAAAGAAGGATGATGTAGACTGTGGTGGAAGTTAGGAGGAAAATTATTAAAAAATAGACTGCGCGATGTATAAAGGAATAGTAAAGGTTGGAAAATAGAAATCTGATGGTAGAAAAAAGAAAGGTTAAACGTGGAAAGTGGAAGGAAGAAAATTAACACGGTAGCAGACCAAAAGAAAATGTGGAAGGTGGTGGGTAGAAGGTAGAAGGTGGAAGGTGGTAGGTGGAAGGCGGAACGTGGAAGGTGGAAGCTGGAAGGTGGAAGGTGGAAGGTGGAAGGTTGAAGGTGGAAGGTGGAAGGTGGAAGGTGGAAGGTTGATCGAAATGTAGGGGTCTAAATAACTGAGCAATCATAGCACAAAGAAAATTTATTTTGTGAACCTAGTACTTAAATGGTTTACAAGATGTTGATCTGCTTCTAATGAATCAGAACTTTTAACAAAAAGTTTTACCATTTCATCCTTATAAGAGGGGAGGGGAGGGGTGGGCTATTTTAGACTATTTTTCAAAGTACGGTACCACTTCAAACTACAGTAACTTATATGTAAGATTGAAATCAGTTTTGTTTTCAATCATAACTCCATTAATGAAAAGAACAGAAATGTTTTTAATTTCTAATATGTAATCAAATAATGTTATGTTTCTCATACTTTAGTGCAAACTATAGTTGCTACGAGGTCACAAAGTAGTACCAAGTAATGTAGTACAAAAATGACCTTCTCCTTCTGCATCTACTTTAGTGTGGTACGTTAAATAAATAAAAAATAAAAAAGCATTAGCAGTAATGGCCTTTCTTTCTCGAAATATATCATAAATACATATATATATCATGCATAAATAATCAATTTATTATTCAATAAAAAAACAGATATTCATCCTCATACACGATGTTTCATGTACCATTTGACATAGACCAATCTTCAGTGAGGCCTGTTCTCGACATTTATTACGTAAATACATATGTTACAAAAACATATACATTACATTTACATAAATGCATACATTATATGAATTTATATATATTACATAAATGCATATATTACATAATTACATATCTATATAATTAAACAAAACATTCGTATATATGCGCCCTATAGCCGGTCAAACGGCTGAACCGAATGGGCTGAATTTTTTTGGGAACCCTGGGGTATTCCGGGGGTTAACAAAGGCCTAAAAAAATGTTTTTTAAAATGTTTTAAAATTGGGCACTTCAGTTAGCATAACATAAATGCAAATGTTACATGAATACATATATACAATTCATGTTGTAACTTACAACTTCAGTTAGTATAACATAAATGCATATGTTACATGAATACATATATACAATTCATGTTGTAACTTACAACTTATTAGGAAAGATAAAAAGTAAATCTGCAACAAATGTCAAATGATTTTTTGTAATTTATTCAAATTCTTTAGCATAAACTGTTGAGCTAAGATTGCTCATTGTATTCTTTATAAAGGACTATGGAACAGTGTTGAGAGGAAACCACGCCACCACATATGTGATCCTGCTGGTTAAATATTGTGTTTCAGGTTTATTACATAATCTTAGAAAATTTACCATTTCAGATAACAATTATAAAGTAAGGTTAGACTTCGTTTATCGAGTAAATAGCCAATAGAACCACCAGGAAAGCATCCTTATCATTTATCATTTATATCTTTTCTTTTATTGAGATATATTAACTTCATATATAATATACTATATTGAAATTGATAGATGTTTGGGATTAGACTTTTAACCGTCAAAGAGACCTGTCTTTCAGGGGAGATGATAGTTCTCTACCTGTGTGCTCAGTTAGCTGTACTGTACACTTACAACTGTTTACTAATATTGAAATACTAAGTTTAGGAGAGATGAGAGTTACAGAGATCGATTAACACCTAAAATATGCGATATTTTCCACAGCATGTTCTATTGTGTACAAGTACTGTACACGACCAATCTCAGACATCTGTATTCAGGGATACTTAAGGATCCTTTGAATAGGAAATACAAAATCTTTAAAAATAGACAATATTCATAAACGTTATGTTTTATGTTTAAAATTGGATTATTTCTTTAAAAGTTGTAAAACTAAATCCCTGAATGCAACAAATGCCAGTGAGATGTCAGTCAAAAAACATTACATGGAACCATAGTATGGCGTGCCGGGACACTATAGGCCCGCTCAGCCTATCCAGGTAGAGTATATGAGCAGGCTGTGTGGTCTGTGGTTAGGCCAGAATTTCCTTAATAAACAAATATGCAGCACGCATTAACGTACATCAGCACTCTATACATACTATAACCTCGTTGCTGTCTTTACAGGAACCAACACAGGGAAGTAGTCTCTGAGCCCGAATTTTTTCATCCGTACTTTTTGCAAACATATGACGTCTCCACTTACTAACGTCCTAAATACGGAGGAATTAAGTACTGTCTAAATGGGATTTTCTACAACATCTAGTGTCCGACCATAAACTGCAACATCGCGCGACCCCTATAGACGAAAATAAATAGAAAGCTTTTCAATACACTGCATGAATACATTTTCAGGGATGCTTTTTATTGATGACTTTCAAAAATATTAAGTTCTCAAGAATTCATGGATTATGATAATTTTCGTAAAATAAAACTACAGAATATTAAACTTTTTATTTAGTTTTTATCAAAATCGGATTAAAATTTGACTTTTTGAATTAAATTATATTATTAAAATTGTGATTATTATTTATCCCTGTGTTTATAAAGTTGTATTGTGTGCAGGTGCTGACATCTATAATAAGGTTAACTCACGGCGAAATTATGTGAGTAAACACGACGTGAGTAAGTCTGTCTGTCCGAAAATAACTTACGGGTGACATCTAGCGGAAAAACACTATAGAGTACGGAGACGTATTTAGGACGTCTTAAATACGACCGTAAATTTGAAAAAATTCCGGCTCAGGAGTTTATTATTCCGGATTAACTTAAATGGGATCCCAGGATAGAACAGGAAGCCCAAGTAATTTGGAGAGGATGGAAATGGCCAACATGCCTAGCTCAGGGGAATCTTTAAGGTCCTTAGATCAACATAAACAATCTAGTTTATATAGTGTGGCTACTTATGGACACCAAATAAATCTATGTCATCCTAAGAATCATAAATTATTATGAATTAGCCTAAGAACCCGATAAATGCCAGTGTTGCAATTTTTTTTTTAAACATGTATTAGAGAGGCTGCGTGCTTGCCAATTTTAGATGATTATCGCAAAACTAATTTAGCATGGAGCTTATTTAACCTATTAAGATGTATAGATACATAATTGCTAAGCAGGCATGTAGGAAAAGAGAGTTCCAAAATAAAAGAAAATAGTTTGACGAAATTTTATCTTATTAAGTGTAACGAAATCAGTACAAGACTAGAATTAGAACTAGATCTAGATTTGAACTAGATCTAGAACTAGAACTAGATTCATAACTAGATCTAGATTTAGAACTAGATCTAGGTTTATAAATTGATCTAGATTTAGAACTAGATCTAGATTTAGAACTAGATCTAGAACTAGAACTAGATCTAGAACTAGAACTAGATCTAGAAATATCACTAGAACTAGATTTAGAACTAGATCTTGATTTAGAACTAGATCTTGATTTAGAACTAAATCTAGATTTAGAACTCGATTTAGAACTAGAATTCTAACTAGATTTAGACCTAGAGCTAGATATAGAACGTAGCTAGATTTAGAACTAGA